GAGGAACCAGATCATTGTTTTGAAAATTGGTAAGTAAAGGGAAAGAATCAAGCATTTATCCTGCCCTTTCTGTAAGATCTACACTAAGGATAACCAAATAATTGATGAGAGGATGTTTTTCTTATAGAAGGAATGACAGAATGAGAATATCACTATTTTGCAACTCCTTTTGCACAGGCAGTGATGATCAAAGACTTACCTTCACAAATAGAGAGACAGTCACACATTATAAGCCCTCCTGATGGAAGGACATGGCCCTGCCTATGAAGTAGTCATGGGAAAAAGACCGGCTCCGGTCAAGCTGCCGTGTCTAACTACCAGTGTATATAGGACAGATATGTTCAGTGCCACCATGACATTGCAGTCAGCAGGACAAACCACAGGACACTTCACAGGACAAGTAGCTTCAGCAACAAGCAAAATGCAAACAGAGAGATAAAGGAGGAACTTATAGATTTAAAGAAGCATAAGAAACAAATTATTATAATACCAATGATTGCCTTTTGTTTGCCCAATTCAAATAAATCATGTTTAAAAACATAGGCCAGTTAGTGAAATATGAATACTAACTGGATAGTTGACGATATTAAGAAATTATTGTAGATACCAACCGGATGATAGTATCGTGGTTTTGTTTGGAAATGGGAGTTCTTGTTTCGTAGAGGTACTTACGTAAATATTTATATATGAAATTATATAATACCTGGGGTTTACTTTCAAAGTAATCTGGGGAGGAGTATGGGATGGCTTGGGGTATAGATAAAACAGTATTGACCATGAGTTGATAATTGTTGAAGCTATATAGCAGGTACAAGAGGTTTATTATTCTTTTCTATAAAATTAAAAGTTAAAAAAAAAGGCAATAGAGTTTGGAGTCAGACTACCTAAGTTCAAAATCCAGATCTGTCACTGAATAAGCTATGTGACTCTGTGTGCTACTTAGCCTGTCTGTGTGTAGATGTCTTTGTCTGTAAAATGGAAATATACAACAATATCTAAATAATAGGGTTGTTGTGGGAACTAAATGAAAAGTGGAAAGCACTGGCGAATGTTAGCTATTAATTATCATACATCAAAGATATAAACTAACATCATAAAGTCACAATTGGTTAGCGATCTTAGGTGCTTAGAAAGTCTAGTTGCATTCCTTACTTAGTATAAGAGCAAACTGAAACCCATAGATTGGAAACCATGTGCAGCTAGATGTTTGTGGTAGAACCAGATCTCAACTACAGGTCTCTTGACTTTAGTCATTACAACATCTTTATAATAAACCATTATTGAATAATACACAAATAAATAACATTATCTTAAGTAGGACCACTCAGGGTTGCAAATATGTTCATTTTTCCTGCATCTAAAATTCATTGCAGTTCAAATGAAAACTCCAGGTTGTTCTTGTTTGTCTGTTTTCTTTGAGAACAGAGAAACTTAACAAAAGATGAGTCTAAATTCATCTGGGGGAAAAAAAAAACCTCAACAACTTAATGAATATGCTAGGAAAATTTTGAGAGAATAAAGGAATAAAAGGAGAGTACTTATTCTGCCAGATATTTTAAAATAGTGTATATTTACAATCCTTAATTTTGTGCTTCTGGCCCAGGAATAGACAAATCAATGAAACAACTTACCGTATTTTGCTGTGTATAATATGCTCCCGTGTATAATACACACCCACGTTTTTGGCTTAAACTTCCAGACAAAATACCTTTCATTTAAATTTTTTAATTCAAATTTGTATTTGTTTACATTTAAGTACTTGTTTTTTGTATTACAAAGGAATTTTACCATTTATTTTTTTAACATATTATGGTACTAGAAATTTTATGTAACAAATACTTATAAAACACAAGAACAGATACAAGGTACAGGAAATTTTATGTACCAGTAACAAATTTACGATATTTATGGGTCATAGAAGGCCAAGATCTCTTCGTCTTGCAAGTTTGTCGTAAGTTCAACAAAACTAATTATCATATTCCAGGGTATTATTTTGCATATGGATATTGATTTCTAGAGTTACACTTTTAACTCATAAGCATAAATAAAAGAATTAAAAACATTTATATAGATATGGAATTAGGACTACCCAAGTATTATGTGCATCCTTATTTTTCCTTCACAAATTTGGGCAAAAGTGCACATTATATGCAGCAAAATATGGTAGTATCCAGAAATAATCCTCCAAGAGTATTTGGATTTTAATATTGAAACTATTTCAAATCACGTACTCTTATTGGGATTACTGGAGTTACCATTTAGAAAAATTCAAAGCTGGATAGTTAACTCAGTGAAGTTCAGATTATTTCATAAACATACTAGAAGAAAATGTTAGTGAATATTTTTATTGTACGGGAGCAGGAAAACCTTTGGGAGTTAGAATAATAAAACAGGTGCCAAAAAGGAAAGGACTAACACATTTTACCACATATAAGTTTAAAACTTTGCTATAACAACAGATGCCCTAAAAGACAAAAACAAAAAACAAAAAACTGAGAAGCAATATGGACAGCATGTATGAGAAAGATTATCTTCTTGTATTAGTCAGTGTCCAGTCAGGAGCTATAAATTGCACCAGGAATTTGAACAAGGAAATTTAATATGAAGAATTATATGAGTAGTAAAAGGTGTTTTAACTACTAAAAAAGATAAACTAGGACTCTATAAAGAATACGGAAATAGTAACTTTAAGGATCAGCTACTACTTGACTACTAGAGCTCAGGGAGAGAATCCAAAAACGGAACAAATGTGAAAGAGGGCACCCCTACCCAAGGTTACGGTTCAGACCTTGGAGAGATTATAGTTGCTGCCAGAGGACATGGCCGTGGGCCAGGCTGGTCCACAGAAGATGGCCTGCTGGGTGCCACAGGCCTGGGCTGGTGTGTGGAAAGCCGCCTGCTGGGGTACTGTGACCCCACTGATGATAGGCAGGAAGGTGCCCAGTGGGGTGCCATGAGAATGGGTATGCTGGATGCTGTCCAGTGGAATGCTGTGGGTCAAAGCTGGTGCACCGAAAGCCACCCACTGGAGTAAGTGGGGGAAACTTAACGAGAGACAACAGACAAACTTGTAGGAGGGTGGGTCTCCCACATAACCTTCTAGCTGCCACTCCATGGGGACAAGAAGAGTGCACCAGCATGAAAGATAAGCACCTCTCTGCCGTGCCTCAGGAAGGTGTCCCTCCAGGGCCCTCGACTAACAAAGTCATGTTGCACCAGCTGGCAAAGGTCCATATTCATTACTAAGAAGAGTGGTTAGAGCGGAGATAAACTGATAACTGGCATTACGTGAAAAGCTCATATATAGAGATAAGAAAATAGTGAGGGCTCTAATTGAAAATATGGCAAAGTATGTAGATAGATAGTTCACAAAAGAATAAATACAAATGGCTAAGTGTTTGAAAGTATAGTCAAATTCACTGTAGATCTCCCTGATTTCATCTAGTTGTACAGACTTGTTTTCTTGATCTTCTGTCACTTTGAGTGAATATTACTTCTTAAGATCATGGGACATTCTTCCATCCTTGGCTCCTACTGCTTACCTGGGGTTCTTTCTGCCTGCTCTCTATACTTTTATTCTTCATTTACCTAAATTATAAAGCTAGTTTGGATTTTTTATGAGGACCTGCCCCACTCTAGCTAGCACAGTAGGCAAGAAAATGAAAAAGGGAAAGCAGATTGAAAAGAAATAAAACTGCCACTGTTTACAGTAAAATGTAAATACATGTTGTATGTATGTAGATAATCCCAAAATTGTCTATAATAAGTTACTAGAACTAATGAGTGAGTTTAGCATGACCACAGGATAAAAAGCCAATATACATAAATAGTTTTCACCTCTACATATGCTTATAGCAGTGATCAATTGGAATCTAAAAATAAAATTTTAAGTACCTTACAGTAGCACCAAAAAATTTGAAGTAATTAGGCATGTACCTAACAAATCTATAAAACACTGATGAGAGAAACCAAAGATCTAAATAAATGGAGAGATAAACAGTGTTTATGGAAAGAAAGACTCAATATTAAGATGATTGTTTGCCACAAATTCAGCACAATCCCAATCAGTTCCAGCAGGGTGAGCACATTTTAGCTCAGCTGTTTAAAAAAGCAGAACAAAACAAAACAAAAAAAACCCTGCTGTTTTTATCATCATTGTTGTTTTTTAAATAGAAACTAGCCTGCAGTGGAGCTTGCTGCTTTGTGATGTAGGGAGCTCCTTGAACTTTGAAACTTTCAAATAGGGATCAGTGAGACCCCTGAGGTGTCCGGGATGCTGTGTAGGATATTACAGCATTAGGTGGGAAGTTGGACCAGATGATGTCTGTTTACCTTCTCATTCAAAATCTTAATGAATCTGTTATTCAGAAGTAAGTGATTTACAACTTTGGGGCAAGGCAAAAGGGAGTTACTGGAATTTTCAGGCTTTTTCAAATACACTTAACTTTTCCCCAAAGATCCTATCACTCTTCCTTCCATTTTTCATAATGAGGGATATTATTAATGGGAGTGTGTTGTGTGAGTGAACTATTTTAAGGCCTCTAATTGTCACATTGGTAATACGTTTTTTTTTGGTTACTCATCAAATTGATTGAAAGAGAAGATAATGTCAGTCTTCTCAACTCTTTTTGAATTTTAATTATGGCTGTTCCAAAATGATATAAATCTTAGGGAAATAGTCTTTAATATTCATTTTTTGACAGCACATTCATATTATCAATTCAATGTAGTCAACTTGGTAAATATTTCTCAACAAGGAAACTCAGAAATTGTCTTTATTATTCTTCTAGTTAATTCTACCAGAATATTAATTTTTAA